CAGCAGTTGGAGGTTTGGCTGCCGTGGCCAAATAAGGTATCTTAGCAACAGAGGTAATGTATTCCTTTCTGTAGACAGTATTTGGTTTTTTTGGAGCACCATTTTTTGCGTGATGGAAGGCCCTCCGGAACTCCCTGCCTGTCAAGCATTATTCCCGAGTCAACACGCCCGAATGCTGAGTAAAACTCAGAGGCAATTGGCAGCAGTTGGAGGTTTGGCTGCCGTGGCCAAATAAGGTATCTTAGCAACAGAGGTAATGTATTCCTTTCTGTAGACAGTATTTGGTTTTTAATAGTTTCTAAGGCTAAGGACCCCTCAAATCATTCCAGTGTCGAGTGGACAGGAGAAGACTGCAGGGCGAGGCAGGGTGCTTAGGACCGAGGAGGTCTGGGTGGGGGAGGTTGTCATGGAATCGAAGCTGTTTGGGGGGCCGATTTGAATATTGCAGGATGTGGCGTGTCAGAGGGGTCGCCGTGTTAGTCTGAATCTGCAAAAGTGGCGAGGAGTCTTGTGGCACCTTATAGACTAACTGAAGCGTTGGAGCTCAGTATCCATCCAGCTCAGTATCCATCCAGCTCAGTATCCACCCAGCTCAGTATCCTGTCTTCTGACAGTGGCCAATACCAGATGCCCCAGAGGGAGGGAACAGAACAGGCAATCATTAAGTGATCCCTCCTCTGTCACCCATTCCCAGCTTCTGGCAAACAGAGGCTAGGGACACCATCCCTGCCTATCCTGGCTAATAGCCATTGAGGGATCTATCCTCCATGAATGTATCTAGCTCTTTTTTGAGTCCTATTAAAGTCCTGGCCTTCACAACATCCTCTGGCGAGGAGTTCCACAGGTTGACTGTGCGCTGCATGAAGAAAAACTTCCTTTTGTTTGTTTTAAATCTGCTACCTATTCATTTCGTGGGCAAAGACCCACTTCGTCAGATGCATCTTTGCCCACGAAAGCTTATGCTCCAGCACTTCAGTTAGTCTATAAGGTGCCCCAGGACTCCTCGCTGCTTTTGCAGGATGTGGAGGGAGTGAAAAGGAAGGCCCATCCAGTTTTACCCCGGTGAAAGTCATGACGCAAAAGCAGGCAGCACCCTCTCCCCAAAATAGAAAGACATTCATATTTTAGAGGGGATACTTTGGACATCAGTGGTATCAGTGCTCCAAATGTTTGGCGTGCGGTCTGGTATTTCTTGTAGACTCTCGCGTTCCGGGAAGCTCTTCAGATCCTGGCTGGCTATTGGCATAGCAGCCACTCAATTCCTAAACTCTTTTCCCAGCTTGTACTGGGCTCAATGTAAAACCCGGGGTGGATTCTCAAGAGAAGCAGTGTCTCGTTGGTTGCTCCAAAGCTCTGGTCAGGAATTTTGGAAGGATTTTCCCTGGAACATCACCCAGAAAACAATGATAGAAATGTAGCCGTGTTAGTCTGGTGTAGCTGAAACAAACGACAGGACTATGTAGCACTTTAAAGACTAACAAGATGGTTTATTAGATGATGAGCTTTCGTGGGCCAGACCCGCTTCCTCAGATCAAATAGTGGAAGAAAATAGTCACAGCCATATATACCAAAGGATACAATTAAAAAAAAATGAAAAAAATTAATTGTATCCTTTGGTATATATGGTTGTGACTATTTTCTTCCACTATTTGATCTGAGGAAGTGGGTCTGGCCCACGCAAGCTCATCATCTAATAAACCATCTTGTTAGTCTTTAAAGTGCTACATAGTCCTGTATTTTGTTACAGAAAACAAGTGATTGGTGGCTTTTAACTAATAGATCCACTGTAAAAACACAGCATACAATGAGTTAATCACTTCCTAGTGGACTGAATAGTAGATAAAAAAACCAATACAATGAACAAACAACAATTCAGGATCATAAGGACATATGAGCGGCCAGACTGGGTCAGACCAAATGTCCATCCAGCCCAGTATCCTGTCTTCTGACAGTGGCCAATACCCGATGCCCCAGAAGGAGGGAACAGAACAGGGAATCATTAAGTGATCCCTCCTCTGTCACCTATTCCCAGCTTCTGGCAAACAGAGGCTGGGGACACCATCCCTGCCCATCCTGGCTAATAGCCACTAAGGGATCTATCCTCCATGAATGTATCTAGCTCTTTTTTGAGTCCTATTAAAGTCCTGGCCTTCACAACATCCTCTGGCGAGGAGTTCCACAGGTTGACTGTGCGCTGCATGAAGAAAAACTTCCTTTTGTTTGTTTTAAATCTGCTACCTATTCATTTCGTGGGCAAAGACCCACTTCGTCAGATGCATCTTTGCCCACGAAAGCTTATGCTCCAGCACTTCAGTTAGTCTATAAGGTGCCCCAGGACTCCTCGCTGCTCCTTTGCCTCCTCTTTTCCGAGCTGAAAGTCCCAGTCTTTTTAATCTCTCTTCATAAAAGCTCCAGCAGTCTCATTGTCCATTTACATACCATTCGTGGGCTCAGCAATCTCATCAGGGTCAACATTAACTGTGGTTCCATAATGAAGTGAACGTGTAGCGAATGACCCTGAAAACGGCCAACAAAAGTGGCGGCTACTCTACCTAGTTTGGGGAACGGTGCAATTTTCTGTAAAATGTTGTCCCTCGGAAGTCCCAAAGGATCATGGGCAAAGGCCTTTTTAAACAGTTTCAGCTCTCGGGTGGGTATCTTCTTAGGAATTGGACGATGGCGAGCGTGTTTCTTTTTAGAACTCAAGGTGTGGGCAGCAGTCCTCCTGTAGGCAAGTCCTCCAGTGAAACCCGCAGGGCTGGGTCTGTAGCTCCTCCCTCACGTTCTCACCCACTGATGCCGCGGCAGCTCCCTCGGTGGTGGGCCTGACTTCCCCGGGAGATTTATTGTGTCGGGCTGCAGAGAAGAGTGTGGGAAGGGTCTGGTCAAGAGGAAGGCACTTGGCGTTGGCTCCAGAGAAGAGAGAGGCAGTGGGTGGGCCAGGCAGGAATGGGGGCGCCTGCTCTGAGTGGGACAATCTATCCTTTGTACAAGAAGTTCAGTGTTTAGGGGAGTTTGTGTCTTCCCAGGTGGCTTGGTTCTGGATCCCCAGGTGGCTTGGTTCTGGATCCCCCGGTGGCTTGGTTCTGGATCCCCAGGTGTCTTGGTTCTGGATCCCCCGGTGGCTTGGTTCTGGATCCCCAGGTGTCTTGGTTCTGGATCCCCCAGTGGCTTGGTTCTGGATCCCCCCGTGGCTTTAGTCTGGCTTGAGTCTGGATCCTAAGGTGGCTTGGTGCTGGATCCCCCAGGTGGCTTGATCCTGGATCCCCAGGTGGCTTGGGCTGACAATGGCATCCCTTTTGGTTACCTTTGCCCATTGTCAGGGCACCTCGGTTGTTTCTCTGTGCCGTGCCCAAGCCCTCTGGGGCATGGTGCAGGTCCCGAAGGGGTTGCCAAGGAGTGAAGGATGCGGGGTCACTGCCTTTGCCAGGGGCGGTGGGAAAGGGCTGTGCCTTTGGGCCCGTCAGGCTCCAGCCGCAGCAGAGAGCTCTGCCTTTGCTCTCCGGTTCCCTAAAGCCTTTGTCGTTATAAACACCGCGAGCCCGATCCTCAGCCACTGCGCATCGCCGAGACTGCTCCGACCTGCCCCCGCTGCTCTCCCTGCTCAGGGACTCTCAGGCTGTGTCCCCCAGGGAGCATCTCCCACCTGGGCTAGCCACGTCTGTGTGACCTGCAGAATAGGCCATTGCAGCCTGGCCTCCGGAGCTCCCCTGGACCACACGGAAGCTGCCACCCAGTGCAGAACCTGCCGCTCGCTTGTTGTGACAGGAGGGCCGTAAGGAGCTGGCCGCTCCAATTTGCTGAACGTAGCAGCTTCCTAGGTACCGCGCCTGGTGTTAACGTGCAGCTTCCCGGTTTGATCCTGACTTGCTGAGACGCTTCCTTTCATCCCACGTCCTGCCCTCTAGATTGGGGCATGGGCGATGGATGAAGGTAGGGCTGGGAGAGGCAAGCCTCCCACCCCACCCCCAGCCCTGCCCCCTCTGCCTAGGCCACGCCCCCATCACGGGGATGGGAGGTGGCACGTGGCCCGAGCCTCCCTGGCCCGGGAGCGTGAGGAGGGCGGGAGCTCGTGGGCTGCAACACTCCGCCCCCAGTGGGGGCGGAGCTTGGGTGGGGTCAGGTTGGCAGTTTGGGAAGGCAAAGCCTCCCCCTGCCTAGCGTACCCGCCGCCCGTGGATTGGGGGAGGGGAATCGGAGCGTTCTCGCCGGAGAACCGTGTCGATTTGGAATTTGCATAGAGGACCTGGACTCTGTCGGGCACGTGCCCATGCGGAGTGACCGGATTCACCGTCCCAGAGGCCTGTCTGTGACGACGCAGGTCCCTGCTTTTCTATGGCTTTGGGACGTCTGTGCACTCGGGTCGTGGTCACGGCCCCATTTTGTCTCGCCGAGGTCTCGTTTCCGGGAGCTGGTTGGAGCAGAAGGGCCGTCGCTGGCTTCCCGGTCCTGGGGCCTAGTTTAGAGTAGCCAGGCCTTCCATCAGAACGGCCACACTGGGTCAGACCAAAGGTCCATGCAGCCCAGGGTCCTGTCTGCCGACAGTGGCCAGTGCCGGGTGCCCCAGAGGGGACGGGACACAACAGGGAATCCTCACGTGATCCCTCCCCGGCTCCCACCTCCAGACAAACTGAGATCTAGGGACGCTGTTCCCACCCTGGCACACCTGGCTCCTCTTCTCACTCTAGTCAGTCCATGTTAACGGAGGAGACTGGTCTGCCTCCCAGCCCCTTTGTGCTTTCGGAGCAGCACAACCTGATGAGAATCCAGCATTGGATTGAACTCCAGGGTCACGGCTGGGTACTGCTCCGTGCAGCCGTCTAACGGTTTCCTCTTCAAATCTTGTCTGCAGGCTGCATTGTTCAGAAAAGCCGGTGGAGAAATACACAAGCGGCGCCTGGTGGGGCTGGAGTGTACCTAGAGGTGGGAAGCTTTTGGGGATGAAAGCTTTCTTCCCGGCATCCCCGCGTAATCCAGTTCTCTTTCCTTTCTGCTCGCAGGGTGCAGGTGGAGTTCTACGTGAACGAAAACACCTTTAAAGAACGACTCAAGCTGTTCTTCATCAAAAACCAAAGATCAAGTAAGTCTTTGTGCCGAGATACTCGTGGCCGTTTGATTTGCCAGCTAATGACAATGATAACCGGGTTGTCTGCAATGAAAGCAATCGGGGAAGGAGGGGGAAAGAGAGGAAGAAAAATCGCACTGGCTACAAAGTGTAAAGAATCTCTCTCGGTGGATCTATTACCCACAGCAAAGCTGTCGGAGCAATATTTTTACAAAGCTGATGGATAACAGTGGGAAGAACAATTCCGGTTTTCTGCACGCTTATTAAATCGAGCTGTAAATCGCTGTTCGCATTGGCCATTCCCTGTCAGCCCTGGAATGGGAAGCAGTTGCCACCTAGTGGCTGGAACGTTTCAGCGTGGCGGCATCGTGCCCGGGGCAAGGCAGCCCTCAGGATGGTGCGTTCTGATGTGACGGTTCCAAGCGCTGTTCCCTGGCGGTGTGAACTCTCCTTGTGCCTGGGAGCCCGAGAGGGAGCAGAGGCTGGGTCCGTGTGTTTCCTCTGGGATGGCAGATTGGTGTGGGAGGGGGTTTCCTTTCTTTGGAAGAACATGCTTCCACCGGGAGGATGGGAAAGCAGGCTCATCTGTCTCTGTTGTCAGCACCCCAGGCGGTGACAGGATGTTCACCACCATGGCACCTGGCTGCACTTTGCAAAGGGGCCAAATCGCGTGGCGTAGCCGGCTAGTGCCAGCGATGCTCAGAGCATCTATGTACTAGCCAAATGACTGCCCCAGACAAGGGGGCTGGCAGGCCCCTGAATGAGGTGGGGAGGGGCCCACTCTGTGCTCCTGGCAGGGGCGTGGCTTTGGGGGGAAAGGGCGGGGATGGGGCAGCCAGCCTGGAGTGCACCGTGCCAGCCTCCCACCCCCCAGCCAGCCCTCACAGCCACTCTGACGGCGCCACGCAGGGCTCCAGCGGTGATTTTAAAGGGCCAGGGGCTCCTGCTGCCACTTCTCCTGGCCCTTTCGAGTCGCTGAGCCCTGGGGCCACTGCCCTTGACCCAAGTGGGATGCAGTATTGTTGTGGTCATCTTGGTCCCAGGATACTCGAGACCAGATGGGTGAGGTTGTATCTTTTACTGCCCCATCTTCTGCGGTGGAGGGAGAGACATTCTTAAGTTACACAACGTTCAGGCTCTTCTTCTTCTCTGATCTGAACAAACCGCGCACCCCCCTCGCCCCACCCCCA